AGTTTTTCTGTACAGAATTCCCTTCCTCACATGTAACACTATATTAATATTGTTTGTTTATCAAATATATTCTGCTCCCAAAACAAAACCCCTGAATCCTAGAGGACGTCAATTCTTTACTCTTTCCTTTATCCCATGTCCCTCCATGCGTCTCAGAACACAAGACTACCAAACAGAAACAGAGTTAACAGAGACAGGACAGACTGAATGGAAACATTTGAAATCTGTAAAGTTAACGCTTTGGATTGTCAAATTTAATTTTGATGAAAACTATTGAATACCAACTATAACAAGGAACTGAGTTCAGGTTTTGGCCACAATAAAGAAGAGTAAGGCATGGCCCCCTCCCTGGGTGTTCACAGTCTCTTTGAGGAGAAATACAGGCACCTTACCTAATTATAATGGAACAAATTGTATCTACTGTCATTTACAATCTCTTAAGTCGCTTGGCTGATATAATGTATTTCCACCTCTTTATTCAGTTGGCATCCAGTAGGACTAGCAAATACTCTTTTTTTTCCACTCAAATATTTTTGTCTTTTAACAGAGAATAAATGAATAGAAAATCAATTTTTATTTATCTGATTACACTATTAATCATTTCTAGATTGATTCCTCTCAGCAACATTTTGCCAGTGTTTCATGTTGACTGGAATCCTCCTGAGATTATAAGAAGTGGTATATCTGGAGATTTTTAACTAATTTATCTACTTGGAACGGTCACTCTATGTCTCATACTTGTGAAATGGATTCTTGGCAGAGATTCAGAAGCTGACACCTGATACTCCATCTCCAAAGAGATGCTTTCTCATTAAAATTTAAAATATTTAAAAATGCTATTTAATTTAAAGTTACTTTTTGTTCTATCCACAGATTTTATTTTAACATGGAACTACTATGTGTTGCATAATTTATGGAACATTCGACAATCAGTGCATTTTATAATTTTTAAGTCTGTAGCTGTAGGCAAGATACAATCTCACAGACTCTTCTTTGTCTTTATCTGCAATGATCTTGTATTCCTGGAAACCACAAGCCCACACTTCTCCAGAGTCAATGGTCTTTCACTCAAGGATAAACTCAAGAAGTTATCTAATTTTTAATAATTTAAGCCTTCCTCAGAACTGTAGATATTCACAAGCAAAACTCCAGTTTTCTTTCTAGAGAAGGGTCAGCAGCAAGCCCTACCCAGGTCTTTGCAACGGCCTTGCTTTTGTACACTGGTTTTATTCTATTTGCAGAGCACCTCTGTAAGTCTCAAAGTAGAGGGACTGCAGTGAGTGCAATTACAATGTCCTCGCAAGTCACCTGTCGAAAGTGATAGTGGGCCAAGTTTGCATTCAGCTCTCACAATACTGTGAAAGGGAACGGTGGGTTATATTGCAATGTTTCTAACCTGATTATCCAGAACAGAGGCTCAGCATGATGCCAGTTCTTTACATGCATTGCCAGACTAAACAAGTATCTTTTGAGGTTCATCCATCACAATTTATGATACATTAAGCTAAATCTAATGTTCTCTCAGGCTGGTGTTAGGGGATTTTCTATATTCAGGCTAAGAAATTGCATTTGGGGAAAGGGATTTCTCCTCTCTTTTTTCCATAGAATTTCTTTAGTTCTATAGAGTCTTGTTATGTCTATCGGACCACTGTTATACTCTGGTAGGAATCGCAGATTGATTTTTAAGCATTTGAAATCTTAACTGGTAGCAGGAAATGACTTTAAATTAGTATTGCATGAACTACTGTAAATTGTTCACTGAGAAGGAGAGTGTTTAATTATAAACGAAGAAACCTGCTTCCCAGTTGATTCACTATATTAAACACTATGTATTTTCAAAGCTCTACACTATTGTTAAAAAGCTATTTCTCACAATGGGTCTCAAAGGGAGCCTAATACTATCACCTCTTATTTTTATAAATGATTCACTTGACCCATAAAAATTAGATTGCCCATATTGGACCACATAGAAATGAGAAACCAGAATTAGGTTTCCAGTTCTTAATGTACCTGTGCCTAGATGACAGAACTATGCTCTTAGTTTTCTGAGCAGCCAGAGTTAGAAAATCAAATGAATATAACTGTCCTTTGTTACTATTGATGGACACACATGCACACACGTTTTTCCCCTTGGAACATTTCTGTTCTGTACACAAAACCAGATATTTTGTCATGGATTAACATAAAACAAACTCAGAGAGATGGCTTTCCAGTCAGATGATCCACGCTACTTGTCCTGATATTCCTTATCTTTAGCTCACTTGCCAAACTTTGTCCCTCTTTTTGTTTTCAGAATCTGTCATTTGGACAACTAATGTAATTGACTTTGGCCAAATCGTAGAATTGTCTGTTACTGAGATTAACAAATATTTGTGGCAACGAGTTCATTCTTAAAATGAACTAGATTATGTTGCTTCTATCAAAGATATAACTGCATCGTATATTCAATCTTATTTATGTATTGACTGCTAGATTTATAATATTCAATATTTTTTACTTTGGATTTTAAAAGTTATTTCTCATGAATAAAACAGTCCATGATGTATAGCATAGATATTGATTTCTTGGGGGTTTTTTTTATCAGTGGCTTTTGAATTGTTTAGTAGTTTAAATCTAATTTTCCTGATGAGTTTGCAGTTCTCTCAATGTCAGTATCACTGTGATATGCCACTGTCCAGAGAACAGAGCTGGGCAACACGAGCTGCCTAGCCAATAAATGTTACTCACCGAAACATCAGGATCTTTTGTCTTGTTTGTATATGTCAACCAACATATAACTTTAAAGTGAAATTTATTCTAAATGTTCCCTCATATGAAATTGTTAATAAATTAATATATACATTTTATCTTTCAGAATTATGAGTTTAAATTTTTAATTTTTAATTTAATTTTAATATTTAAATTTTTTAATTTAGGTTTATTATTTTTCTATAGAAACAGAATAAGGAAAATTCTTACCAAATGAGATGAAACTGTCATTTAAATGTTGTGAGTGCTAACAAAAGTAAATGTTCCTCAACATATTAAAAAAAGAAAAGGACATTCTATGATCTTATGATTTGCTTTGTGCTATAGAATTTCATTTACATTTGAATTACAGGTGCACAGTATTATATACCAAATAGAGTAGCCAGATATGGACATTTTCAGTGCATTTCCCTTTCTAGATATAATGTAAAGTCATATATTTCAGTGCCATATTAAAATATAAATATGCAGCTAAGTAATAAAATGCCATAATGTCTCCTGATTCATCCTAGAGTTATGTACTGACAAAGTTATGGTTATGAATAAATAAGTTTCATAAGTTGCATTTTACTGTAGAAAATGTAACAAACAACAATATGAGAATGTGATCTAAATATTTGTCTTCTGGTGTTTTCATTAAGACCAAAGCTTTGTGAATTTTCTAAACAATATTTTTGAGTATTCTCCTCTAAGATTCAGATTTCTTCAGACTTACAAAACATTTCACACGTATGCAGTATGTCATTTTTCTAGTCATAAGTGTCATATACATTGGGTGGATAAATTGGACTATAATCTCTGGGTACACAGTTTGCCATACATGAGGGTCAAGTTTGTCTGTTTTGTTCATCTCATGTTATAACGTCCTTGCCTAGTGCTGAGTCCTGAACAAAAACCCTGTAAATATTTCTTGAATAAAAAGGAAGAAGTAAACATTTTTTTGATATTCATTTATCTCTCCTCATTAAAATGCAAACAAGAAAGCAGATTAAAATATTTGGAGCTGAACAGTAAAGAAAATCAATGGCAAATATATTTAAGATTTAAAAATATATTACTCTCTAGTGCATTCTTAAATAATTCTGCTGATTTCTGTGGTATTTCCTGGCCTTTTTTGGACTGAGAAAAATCAAATTAAATTCGAGAAAGTTTACCCAGAATGCAATTAGAAGATCTCTAATATGTGCAGGTTCTCTGAATTCATGTCATTTTTGCCAGTGTCATCATATATTTAGGTTTAATGGTAAAAGTGAATGAACAATATTTTATTCTGGATAATTATATTTCACTGCATAGGCTACATTTCATCATATAAAGATGGTGATTTTAAAGGAGAAGGAAACATGTAGGGTGTTGAAAAAAGAGAAAACTGTGTGTATGAGAGTATTGCTGCCATAAACTGGAGGAAACTGTCATCCATTCTGAGCACCATGGTATCATTCACAGTTCAGGACTGGAGCCCTTAAGAAGCCAAGAGATGCTTCCCCAGCAGCTTCCAGTCATCCTTATCACTGACACAGGTTGTGAGAACAGTGCTGACCTTAGACCCAGAAAGCACTACTGTTAGGACACTAACACAGCATGTGTCCCAAGCCCTCTGCCAGGAGGTTCTTTGGGCCATCTGCAGGAGACAGCCAGCAAACAGTTTGTACTGGAAACATCTATGTGTGGTGGAATAGAGCCACCATAGCAAATTTTTTGAAAAAAATTTTTTTTTCCAATTCAGGTTCCTTCAATACTATATGAAAATATCTCATGTATATGAACTGACTGAATTCTTACCAAGCTAGTTTTGGTTGGCATGTAGATACAACCTTAGAAGAATTTTCCTTAAAATGAAATTTGTACAATATCTAAGTTGTTTGAGAAATTGTGCCATAATTAAGGTATGGCATAGGTGAAGAACAATGATCCATATTATTAACTCCCTAATGACTTTATGTAAACCTGTTTAATCATTTGTTTAAAATTCACTGGTGACAATGTTTAAGCATCATATATAGACTTAAGTATCATATGCTGGTATTTGTTATATTACTGGAAAATATTATCCAATTTATAAAAATAAGTATTAGAATCTCTAAGTGATTTAGGTCTTCAGATTATTTCTAGATTACCTTAATGAGGTTCATTAATATGCACACTACTTGGAAATTGGATAACTTTATTTCAGCCCAGAGATGATTACCTAGAATGAATGAATCCCTAACATGAAAGTAACACTAACTTTTTATGGAATTTTTATGTTTTAGCACTAAAAAAAGGACGATTTTGGATCACACCAGATCCTTATCACAAAGATGACAACATCCAGATTGGGCGTGAGGTGAAAATATCTTGCCAAGTAGAAGCTGTTCCTTCTGAGGAGTTAACATTTAGTTGGTTTAAAAATGGTCGTCCATTAAGAAGTTCTGAGCGGATGGTTATTACGCAGACTGATCCAGATGTCTCCCCGGGAACAACAAACTTGGACATCATTGATTTAAAATTCACGGATTTTGGGACATACACATGTGTAGCATCTCTGAAGGGAGGAGGAATATCTGATATCAGTATTGATGTTAATATATCCAGCAGCACAGGTAAGAAGCACATTTATGATATAAAATATATTCACATTGTGAATAATTTCTTTACTTTTAGCAAGCAAAATATTCTTCAGTCAAGCTAAGAACATTCTTATTTTCAAAAAGTTTCTGGATACCAGATTTGTAACATTCCAGATTCCCAAAAATACCACGTTAAGAGACATTGCTACTTCTTTTATTTATTTTTATTTAGATTTACACAAGGTTTTACAGAAATAGTGCAAGTAAAATTAGTAGCATTGGCCGTGATAGATACAGGCTTTTGGATTAAACAGTACAAAGTTTTCTTATTATTAACTAGGAACCCTCTGTAAAGTCTGAAATTATATATTGATTAACAAAGTTAAATACAAGATATCTAAAGAGTTAAAACAATTTTCAGAAATTTGAAACAAACAAACTATTTAGTCCTAAAAAGAAAATACTGAGAGACAGTTTAAGATAAGGTATATAAAATACGTATTTTCTACCAACAAGAACCAATGATAAAGATGTTAAAATTGTGATCAGATGTGATGTTTTGAAGAACCTTATGATAGACTCTCACAGTGAAAATGACTAAATATAGAAGTATATTGGAGTGAAATTTCTTTAACGGTTAAGATGAAAAATGTTACCAACTTTCTCTCAATTAAATGTGCATCTACAGATGAAGAAGACTCTGGGGCTTTGGTATGGGAGAACACATTAGCTCTTAGGATATTTTAAAGCCCGGTGATTCTATGAATCACAATCAGTATGCATCTGGAGAACTCCAAAGTAGCTTTATTTATTTTGCCAGCTTGTACCCAGATTGAATTTTAATTTGGCATTTGTATATAATTCTAGGGTGAATAATATGTGTTGAAAACAGAGCACAAACGTAACTAGCAGAGACACTCTGTTTCGAGAGAATTTAAACAGTAGGCTTCTCCTTCCTAGTCGGGCAGCATTTTGACTTTTGTGTGTTAACACGTTGACTTGTGATTTTGTGTCCTCATGATACCAAATTGCAGTGAACACTGAATTGATTTTACTCCTTAAGAGATGTAGGTCCATATTTCAGGCTGACCAAATGTGCTTACTTTGTACCATTCTGTATTATTTATAAGGGATGTTCCATTTTAGGGTGATAAAGGGTACATGCATTTCTACAGATGTCCTTTTCTAGGTAACAAACAACACAACACAATAGCTATTGTTTTTTATCTACTCTGTGTTTCGAACTTGCTGCTCGCCCTAGGAGGTGAACTCATTTTAGGGTATCCAAGGAAAGCTGTTGATATGCTCAGTCTGTCATCCTTCATTTATGTATTCGCTCAATCAGCAAATATCCATTGAATGCTTACATCAGTGTACTAGAAGACATCCCACATATGATATTTCCCATAAGATTAAGAACGATTTTATAAGATCCATTACCATATGTCTTTATTTATGACAATTTCCCAGAATTGATCTACACTTAATTATGAACATTGCTTTGCTTGTTTGGTTGTTTGCCTGATTTTGTTTGGTTGTTTCTTTTTTGGCACCAGTGACACAAACTCATCTGCAAAGAATCAATGCTCCTATCTAAACAGACTTGTCTGATGGGAGCACAGTTCATATACCATTAAACTTAGACAAAGGAAGGAGCAGAGAATAGAGAGGAGAAAGGAGCCTTATATGATTATTCACAAAATGAGTCCCAACATTCCTTGTTATATACACTAGTTAAATTGCCTGTTTGAAACTGTGTGATGTAAATGACCAGCACTGATTCATGAAATTTCTAAAAATCTTAAAAAGAAAATGTCAAAAGATGATTAGAAAAGCAGAAAATAAGAAATGTCTCATTTTTAAATCACTGCCACCATTGGTTACCAGAGGTTACAGTGCTTGAGACAAAGGAGATGTATTAAATCCTCTTCCAATACACTCCCCTTTTCTGACCCACCACAGACAGACCTGGTTATTGTCTGTCTCCTCCCTAAAGTGGATGATCCATGAAGTCTGGACCTTGTTTGTATTGTTCGTTGTTTTTAATCTTAACATCTGAAACAACACATGACACTTAGAAGACACTCAATAAACAACTATTAATTTTTTTAAGTGAGCTAATTTGTACATATAGCTTTCCTTTTAGGTTTTTTTTCCCCTCTCCTATTATTATCTCTGCAAAATAGGTATTTGGTATCTCTCTGCCCAATCTTGTAATTCCCTACTGACTTTAAGAAAAGTCATTCAATAGACCAATTTATACTGTGTTTGAATGGATGTGTTATCACTCTCAGGGGCAGGACTGGCTCTATAATTTGTGGTATCGAGAGAAAAATTTTTAACGTATGTCACTTGTTCAGAACTTAATAAAAATTTCCTAATGGCAGTATCAGAGCATTAAACTGAGTGTGGGCCCCTTTTAAGAGTGCTACACAGGGCATGCTTGTGGGACTGGCTGGCACAAGGGGCTGTATTTTGATAGAGAGACCTGCAGAAGGTGATGTTTAACCCAAAGGATAAGTCATTAAAGGAGATTACATATTCTGTTGTCATGCTGAAACTGGATTTGATGTTTTATTTTGCTTACAGCAGAGTGGAATACCAGAATGTAGCATAAAGACCTGTAGATCTGAGATTATGTGATTCAATTGGTATCAATAAAAATTATTTTTATCCTTGCACAGTAGAAGCTACACTTAAAGCATTTCTTTGATATGAAATTTAGAGATATTACCAGGGATAGAGTTTGAACAAGCTATAGCCCGGTGGAAAATCTTGACCTATATTAATTCTGTGAACCAGATAGGTGGGATTCAGAGGAAATTCCCACAGATTGGGTGAGTGAAGTCAAAGAGAAGGAAACCACTGTTAAGACATAAGTAAATGTGTGGGGCTCTTTTAGACTCTGAGTTTTGCTAGTTAGTTTAGGGAATTTAGAATTGACCAAGTGGTCAGTGGTTTTCTGTGTGCTAAATGTAAGCAAATTTAGGGGACTATTTTAAACTTAAAAAAAATGAGCCTTGTGTTTTTCATACAGAATCTTACATTGAATCGTAGTTGTTACTGTCCTTTAAGAGACATACATGAGACTTAATTAAGTTGGAAAACTTTCTCTTTCAGTGACAGAACTACATCTCTAGATATGTTTGTGAGGGCTTTAAAATTGAAATATAAAATACCTCAGGAAGGTAAATCTTAGTTTACAGAATTATTAATATATGTAAAAGACAATTTGATTTTAAAAAAAACTTTGAAGAGAGGCTGCATGTATTTTGAAGTTTGCCTCATGCGTCTGATTGAATAATGAAAACTATGATATATGTATTAATAGATTGTCTTCTTTTCACATTAATTCAGCATTAGAAATATTTTTTCCTCCTGATTCTATAAAACTGCAAATTGCTTTTTTGTGAGCTTTTTGTTGTTCTGTCATTTTAAAATTCATGTTTCTTGAAGGTTCTTTTACTGTGTTGTTGCTCTGTGTCTGACTCTATGTCACATGGTGACAGTCAATGGACCTCACCCTTAGGGAGCTTTTAGTCTAGGTTGTCCAGTTACTTAGTTCTCAGATGACTTAGAAGTTAGGCACAGTATATAGTGAGATGGATGCTGTACTTAAAGTTTGATCAGCCTTCTGTAAGAATTGTGAATGCTTTTGTCAATGTGGGCACAAGAAAATTCTACAGAAAAAATGACCTTTGAGTGAAATATTGATAGAAGAGCCATTGTGCTAGTGACAGTGAAGGTAGAGTACATTTGGCAAAACATACAGGATGAAGAATGTCCCAGAAATACTATGTGATACTTTATTTCTTGCTTTTACTGTAGAATTAATATTAACTGATATTAATATAAGCAGGATTTATTGGTTTATTTCAATTTTATTATTACCATTAATGAAGCTACATTTTATATGGCTAGACTGAAGGTAACTTAAAAAAACATTATAGCGATTGTTTTAAGTTATCAATGAAAAAATTAAATATACTGAAATTTTAATTGGTACAATTAAATCTTATGAATGAAAATTCTTCACATACTTGCTGGCAAATGCATGTATATTTTAGCCTAAATTTTTGGCAACAGTTAAAATCAACCCTTAAGTATTGTTACTTATTTGTTATTCATTTACACAAGTATAACTGTTACAGTATATTTTTAATTTTCAGAGGGCTTGCTGAAAAATATTCCATTGCTTCCTCCAGTATTGTTCTGCATAAAATCCTTTGGTGCTCATTAGCTTGCATATGTTTCTTTGCTTGACTTGAAAACTTGTAGGTGTACAGTAAACTCAGAAGCATCTGCATCATGCCTAGAAAATATAAACAGTGAGCCTGGTGATCTGTGGAATTCCGTGGTGAGACATCTGGTGGGCAGATATAGCAGAAGACTCAGTACAAATTTGTTGATATTTTTCCTCCCCTGTTTGAGTATAGGAGCATTTTATTTAGCAGAAAATGGAACGAGGTTTAAAGGATTAAACCAGAGGCAGCAACATAAACATAGGTGCACAGAGGAGGTGGTGAATTTAGAAAATTACCTTGAAATACTGGCTTTGCTGCTATCTGACTTAGTTATTATAATTATGACAGTTAAGAGTCTGAACAAGTATTCACATTTGTGAAATGAAACTTCTTGATAATACAGGAGTATGGTACACAACTAATAAGAATAGTTAATTAGCATGAAAGCAAAAGAAAAATGATTAAGTCTCTAATTGGATTTGCTTCTTTGCCCTTTTCAAGTCAAGGGGGAGGAGTAGAAACCCATGAAATCCTGCTGATTAAAACTGAAGTTTTATGGAATGAATATAGTGAGTCATGGCCATTTTATGTAGGAGGAGGTCATAAATAAGACTGACATACGTAAGACCTGACAATGATTTAATCAGAGGAAGCTTCCATGTAGTCAAAAGTTATGTAATGGGTTCCTGAGTTACTAGACACAAAAAAAAATTCATTTTCTTTCTTGACTCCAAAATTGTGAGGTTCAGCCCATGACCTCCAAATTAATTACAGAGAACAGAGGGCAGC